CACCATTTTGCTAACTTGGGGTTCTTCAATTTAGTTCAAAACTCCCAACTCATTATTGATTTATCAGCTTTGTATTTGATATTATTCAATATACAAGCCCCATTGTTGTTAGTATGCTTGAAGTTATATAATGTGTTCATATAAATTATTTATTGTGTTGTTTGGATTTAAGTTTGATATATGATTTACTTTGCGAAAGAGTTTGTTGTGACATTAATCCATATATATTTATGTGATTACATACCGTCATTAATAAATATACATGAGATTCATCAATTAGTTTAATTCACTCTAACGAAAGAAATTGTAGTTGAATTTTGAATGTACGACATAAATCATGTTTTTTGTAATGAATTGTTCATGGAATATGAATGTTCCAAACTTTCCCATTGTTTGTCACTGGGAGGAAATATTGTTGATGAATCAAACAGAGGCTATTATCAAGGGGGAAGACGAAGGATAATTGTTGTTTCATGTGGGGTGGGTATGACAGAATTGATGCATAAAACTTATACCGTCACATCCACCGATCGTATGAGTAAGTTGGATTTGAAAATTAAATATCTCATTCATGGTGGATCGTACATGATGATGTCTCTTGATGGTCATGAAGTCGTAATGGGAATGTGGACTTTAATCACGGATCTTGTTATGTCAACTATGGAGAATCAGAGAAATAGGTTGAAAAAATGATTGTGTTGCTCATACAACTTGATAACCCATCATTATCTCGCTCATCCACGAATATTCCACCTGTTATGAATATGGTTATACAGGAGAATGAGAGGTATGTGAACAATGATGCAGCAGTTCTGGATTCCCATTGCATGACGCCAGATGAAAATCTCAACAATGATGCACTAAGAGATTCTGATGAAGGTGATGGTGACCTTGTAAGTGTCAAAGCTCTATCTAGCCACTACAATAAAGTTTATGAGCTCCCTGTAGAATTTGATAAATCATGAAGGGCTTGTACGCGTTCTAATCGCTTCACTCCAGATGGTGAATTCGAGACCGTGCAATAATTTTATGAGAAGAAAGAACTGATTAACATGGTTAGAGCGTACTCTGTAAAGAGAAATTAATTTTTCTCAGTTGTGGAGTCTGACAAACACAAATGGGTGGCATAATGTAAGAGGATAAAAGAAGCGGTTGCACTTCTTGGGTACGTGCTATGAAGAAACACGTGAGGCTAGATATGTTCACAGTTGTTTGTTATGCAGGTTCTCATATAACTACTTGCCTTTGTAATATATGCTGGTATGACAACTAATAAATTTATAGTCTATAAAATTATTGATCTTCTTCATACTAAATCACGCTAAACATGCACACTATTAGTGAGCTTATGAAAGAACATGATTTATGTGCACGTTTAGTGATAAAGTAGTACGAAACAGATTTGTAACACCCCCAAATTCACTCCCCAAAATAATACTTGGATCATAATATTGTTTATTAAAAATAAACATTCAAAAGTTATGCAACAGAATATAACAATATGGAACAGGGGTGTGTAACCGCCTACAACCGAATGTTACGGGCCTACAACTATCCACCATTAACACATATGTTCAATAAAAGTAGAAAGTTTCTAACTCATTATTTAAAATAACGTTATACATTACTTTTATTTATAGGTTTTCTATGCAGCGCTCCCGAAATTCATCATCTATCATAATCATCACCTGAAAATATCCAAACAGAAAGAGAAAACAAAAAGAAACTAAAATTAGCTTTCGCTAAGTAAGATTCCACCCAACCCCGTAAAATAATATAATTTGGAAAAAATATATATTTTGTATATATGCAAACTATATATTGAAATATCATATATTTGAATATTATAATTCAAATAATTTTCATAAAAACAAATAGAGCGCGCGTTCAAATATTAACCGGTTTAATCCAATGTCTCATGTCACACACACACATGTGTGTGTACAGTTGGAAAATAATATAATGAATAGAAATCGTAAATTTAGTTTTTCAGTGAAATCCCTAAAGTTTCTTGTAAAGATGGGAAAAACTCAATATTTCCTTGAGCCCTATAAGTTGTTGTTATTTACAACTCATCCCGGAATTCTAGCTGCCACAGACTACCTGTTGAAAGCTGAGCTTCCACCTTAAGTGTGCCCAAGTAGCCCGAATAGTTTGTACTAGCTACTCCTCAAAAGGATATATTCCCTGAGTGATTAGGAAACTACTACTACGATCACCAAAGGCCGGACCTTTATAGCCCTAAAAAATATGCTGAAATGTCTACCATATGTTAACAAATAAATAATCCACAATAGTACTGAATCCACCAAAGGCAATAGTAGTCTATAACACCCCATCATAATTAACGGTCGTAAAGAAGACTAACACCACAGGTTTCTCTCGTGATGGCCACAGTCAATATGATCTGGTGTCAAAGATTAGTTGCTTACTGTTTTGTTTGTTTTTGGTCAAGTGTTGGACGATTCAGCTAGCTGCCGGGATATATATTAATATATGTGGCTTGCATTTGAGTTTTAAATGTATATTTCATATATTTGTGTCGTAGTATGTACGGAGTATGTATATTAATATATATATATGTATATATACACACACACGAAGTATATACCTGTAGTATTCTGTACATGTGTAGTGATGTGTGTACTATTATATACGTAGTATGTATCTATATATGCATATTTAGCTACGAGTTTTTTTATTTAGCTACGAGTTTAGTATTATTAGATTTTTACCTGTGTGGTAAAGTTTGAAACCTCAAACTTATTTAGAATGTACCTGTAGTATCTTTTAATATTTACTATTAAATTGGTGTTTTAATATCTTTTAAAATTGGTGTTTTTGTACATATTTTAAATTGACATTTTTTATTATTATTGAAAGACACTTATTATTTAGGTATTACTTACAATTTTATTTGCTCAAGTTTGATAAAATTAATAATATCAATTTGTTTTATATTATTTAAATTTTCGGAATGTGAGAATCTACCTTTCGTAAATGATGTTTCGTCCTCGAAGCATATGCTAACTAATAGGAGAGTTATTTCTTAGTATGTAAAGGAGTGTAGGATGTTACAAGATCAAATAAAACATGATATGTTCAAAGTTACTGCTCAGTTTATTGCTTTTTATTTTATAAATTATAAATTGTTAATGAGTTAACTTATACTGTCAGAAGAGCCACCACTTGAAGTGACGATTTATAGAGCCACCCCTTAGGATGGCGGCTTTCCATAACCACAGTTATTTCCAACAGTATTTTGAGATTTTTTTTAACAAACAGTACTTTAGGAATTATTTATTTAAATAACATTAATTCTGGGGGAAAGTCTTGTTGTAGGCTTTGAAGTTTTTAAAGCTAATAATTTTAAAACAAGAAAAGGGAAAAATATTACACTGGAAGTTGATTCGTTGGGTAGAGCGACAGAGCAAATCAAAAGTTAAATGGAAGACAAATTATACCGTGGGATCGGTTCACCTTCCGCATGGTATGTGATCCCACTTTAGGCAAGTGCATGCTTTTCCTTTTCTTTCTTCCCGGAGCAACAACGTTCATTCCTTTTCTTTTGCTTCTTTATTTTTCTTTTGTTCAATTCTTTTTTCTTTTTATATCAAATTAAAATACTAAAAATTTAATGACAATCCTACTTTTCTTTATCTTAATCTTAAATATAATTGAATCTATTTTTTATTCTTTATCAATACATAACAAAAAATTTATTAATCTAAATAAAATACGTGTATTGCATTTCATATTCATACACTATTTTTGTTTCTCTAATATTCTTTATATGCATATACTTTTTTTGTAATACTTTTTATATTCATACACTTTTTTGTAATATTTTTTATATGGATACACTTTTTCTATAATATAATTTTTTATCACTTTTATATGTTTTTAGAGGTTTTTAAGGCATTGAGTTTGTTTATTTTGATTCTTGAAGTTGCATGTGATAATATATCATGAAGTTACATCTTCTGTGTAAGTAACATCTTAATGTACGCGAGTTACATCTTAATATACACGAATTACATCTTAATGTACGCTAATTACATCTTAATATACACGAGTTGCATCTTAATGTATACGAGTTACACCACGGAATAAACCCTGCTATTTCATTTTTATAGCCCTAATATTAAAAATAAAACATATTCACTATTTAAAAAAAGTAATTAAGCCATTAGGATCACTTTTTCATTGTTTACATTGAAATCAATGTTTATAATATATATATATATATATATATATATATATATATATATATATAATTCTCAAAAAAACACACAAAAAGTGTTGAATTTTCCAATAACGTAAGTTACATATCTTTAACGTCATTTTTTTATATACATTGATCAATAACGTAAGTTACATATCTTTACACGCGAGTTATATCATTCATGCTACTCGGACAAAAAGAAAGAAAAATAGTTACTAACATGCGTGTACTATTCAAACTATTTTTTAAAAAAAACAATTGTACAAAACTACGTCATTTTGGAAGTGGAGCACGGTGCTCGATCATCCAACATTCCAACGGTATAGGAAGTGGAAATGGAACCCGTAAATGGATTAAACACAAACTTTTTAATGTTTAAAATAAAAAAAGTAAATATTAATGATTAAGTTTTTAGAAGGGTAGTTAATATAGAAACAGCATGTTATTTCTGTTTTTATCCATTACTTATTCTTGATAAATCCATTGTTCAGTCCAATCTCTAAAGAAAAATAAGAATACAATATCGTGAATCGTGATCAATACACATTAAATTATTTGCTTTATATTTCAATAAGCACTTCTATTTAGGAAAGATATATCACCCTTTATTTGTGAAACTCGCATTATTTTTAGGGAAGATACTTTTTGTTTATAAGTTTATCAAAACTTTTAATTGACTTGGAGAAATGCGAGTTGTCTATATCTAAACAAATAAATACTCCGTACAAGACAATGAAAGAATAATATTGAATTCAAGAGATGAATACAAGGCAGTGGGAGTACTTGCATAACAGTTGTGCCAAAGATACGGGTTGAATCCAACCGAATAGATTTTTCAATCCTAGATTCCTAGGTTAGATATGTGAGATAATAACTCAATGTCTCAATCCATGAACTGGTGGTAGTCCTCTTCATGTCTCAAAAAGCAAGATAGAGAAAAAGCAATAACCAATACTCTTCCCACTGCTTGTTAATTTTACAAATTATGGAGTTTATATTTATGCACAATTTGCAGCTCATCCTCGTAATTCGGAATCTTATGCTATATACGTACACATACATATGTATATTATATATATGCATGTATGTGTGTATACACTGATCCAAGGATAATATAAAAGATAACAGACAACTCTAAGAAGTGGACTGGTCCGAACAGTACTTGGATATGTGCTGAGAACAAAATTTGGGGTCTCCGAGCAACAAACTTCAAGGGTCAGTTCAAATGAAGGGTTTTGGACGAGCTTAGAGCGAAAGACTTTCTACAGCTCAGTCTACGAAAAGGTGATTTGAAGTTATACAAATCGCAAGCTATGTTAAATTTCTAAAAGAAACTCAAGATATAAGTCTAAGCTCTCCAAACCTCGAGAACCCTTCATCCAAACAGAGCCAGTGAAAAGGGCACAAGCACAGGTCTTCATGTGTGGAGGAGTATGATCCTTTCCATGATAATACTGATTCAATGGCTGGCTGGCAGTCAGTCAGATGAGGGGTCATCCCAATGGTCGCTACTATCTTCCAGTACAGATGTTTTTGCTTCTGCTCTAACTTCCCTTTCATGGAGTTTCTGTATGCTGCTGAGAACATCGCTGTTGTGTTGCTCGAGGCTAGAATTGACGTCATATTTGAAGAAGGGTTTGTGGCATATGCAGGAGGCGGGATATTCATGAAACTCCCCGCGCCCAGGTTTCATCTCATCGGGTTCTCCCATGAACCCCCGCTGGCATGACTTCACCTTTGCGGCAAAAGTGTCCCAACCCATCCTCTCCCGTTCCATGAATAGAGCACTTAGTCTTTTTGCATTTGGCCTTATGGTTCTCTTGTGTCCCATGTAACGCCTTTGAGTAGTCGGCAATACCACCACCATCAACATTTGACAAGCACAACAGAGGTTTGGAATTACATTAAATTAGTAGTCAGTCTCTAAACAGGTTAAATAATTGAAATCTTCTGTCCCACGATTTTATGTCCAATGTTGTTGTCTCTTGGTTGACATCAAATTATTGATGATTTTTAGATTTATTTTTTTATGATAGTCATATGTTGCATCAATCAATCACAATACGTTCGACATGTTCCATGTCAGTGTGCATGTTGATTCAACATTGTCTATAATGACATTGTTGAACCAAACTCATTGTTGAATCAAATAATGACATATGACTATACAAGTATCTCAACTCATTGTCAGCTCATCATATTTCCCATGCAAGTGGCAACTATATACTCATGATTTGGGATTTCATGTTATTACTCCATCCGTCCCTAAATAAACTCCCAATTTAATTAGCACGAAGGTTAAGAAAATGAAAAACTGTGTGGTTAAACTTTGAATAGAGGTAAATAACATGAACCAACCACATAATGTTTTCCTTGAAAGAAAATGAATGACAATTTTGAGTTAGACCATAAAGTGTGACATGAATGGTATCCAGCTTAAAACTTTGCCACTGCCTCTTGCAGGAGTTTGGAGTGTTACTTTTACACAATTAATTTACACTACATTTCATGACATGGGACTGAAGTGATTATGATGAACCAATAGCATGAGTAGCACATCAATATTAGTTTGCATTGCTAATTTTAGACAATTCATTTACACTAGAGACTTCATGCCATGGGATTAAGGTGATGATGAACCAATCAGGATGAGTAGCAAATGCATATTACTACCTCCGTTCCCATAATGTAAGATACAAGTGGGTTTGTGGGTTTTAAGAAAATAAAGGATATAGTGGTTGCTTTACAATTCTAATCTCCAAAAAAGTAAAAGGTGAAATGATAGACAAATGGATAAATTGGAAAGTAAAGAGTTAGTAGGGTTCAATTTAGGAAAGTGTACCTTACAAAGTGGGACACAGGGATAATTCAGTGTCAATTTAAAACAATTAATTCACACTACAAATTTCATGTCATGTGATTAAGGGTATGGTCATGAACCAATCAGGGTGACTACTGACGAGAACATCAATATCAGAAGGTTTGAACTCAATGTTAAAACAGCATTCTATGAATAGAGTAAAAAGGGGCAGCCTGGTGCACATTGGCATCCCTGCAAGGCAAGGGTCTAGGGAAAGGTGTCACCACGAGGGTGTATAAGGAGCAAGCCTTCCCTTGTCGTTTTGACAAGAGGCCTTCCCTTGTCAGTCACACAGCAACACCGTAACCAGTGCGCCAAGGCTCCCCTTCAATAGAGTGCAAACTGATTTAAAAATTATTCACTGTGGGAAAAGGAGTAAATTTGATTTAATAAGAGTTGAGCAATTGTTACCTTCGACCAGCAAGGATCTTTGCCATGTTTCCATTATTGTTAGTGACGAAGACATCACTTTCCTCGCACACTATGTAATCAACTGCGGCCATGCGGGAAGAATATGAAAGGAAAGGCTTTAGTTCTTCACCTGCAAGAATCTCCTTGGAATAAAAGTTAGGAAACAGTTCTCTTAGGGGCTGCAGAGTCTTTTCTCCACCATATATTTCTCCAGATGCAACAAAAAGGTAAGTGTCGTTTTTGAATCCCAGTGCTCGCAGCATCAGACCTACTTCGTGTGGTGTCAAAGGGCATTTCCCTCTCATCCTCTCTTCATCTGGGCTAGCCTCCTGCATGAAAATAGACAGCATTATGTAGATCTTTAGACCTGGGAAAATGCTAGAGGGGGGGGGGGGGGGAATGCTAACATAATAATTCTTTTGTGTTTGGTTTTACAGTTTTACCTCTGAAAATTCAAAGAAAATGAAATAGCATTAATGTTTTAAAAAATACATATGCTTAGATTTGTAGAAATAAATAAATAAATAAAAATAACTTTGAGCAATTTGCTGAGAGTTCTAACCAATATTTTATTTCCACCACATTTTCTTTACTTGAAAAAATCCCCTAAAATTTGCTTTATATTTTCATTCCTTAGCAGTTAGCATTCCCAAGTTCCAAATGAGCCTGTAATCTCTACTTTCCCTTGGATAATCAATCATAAACAGTTATAGAAATTACTGCACGCACTCAAGTCCAGATTCATTATAAAAGGGGCAATACGTGCAACTCTTACCATGTTTATTAAAAGAAAAGCTCTCTGATTAATCATTTAAAAATCAATTGACAGGAAATGCATGTTCAAGTTTATAGTTGCAAAGTTGCATACTAGCATTTAGCAAACAAGCATTTGTTTAGCTGCATAAGCAAAGTTTTGAAGACTCGATTCAGCAACTTCTCAGAAACAGTGACAATAATAATAATAACAACCGCAACAATAATATTGATGATTTGTGGCACCTCCCTCAACCAATGAAAGGAGCAATAAGCACCTAAGTACTTAATTGTCCCTATGGTATCAATTGAAATTCTAACCAAAACCATCTGACTCTGCAGCTTAAGTTTCACGTGTAATTCCTACAGTATTATGTGTAGAAAAATGTTACATTATTAGAAAAATGGTACATTATTTTTCCTGATTAGATTGATGTACATAGTGAGTCGGATAGACTTAGTTAGTTGTAGATAAGCTCATAGTTATCTAGATCCTAATTTTTAGGATCTGTAATAGCTTGTAGTTATCTGTACAAACTGTATTTATACTCTGGCCGTATGGCTCATTCAATCAAGGAAGTTTAATTCCTAAAACTTACATGGTATCAGAGCAGGCTGTTTAAACACCACAATGGTGGAAACCGAGCAATCTGACTCTTCTCCCCACTCACAAACCCATAACCCTAACTCCCCAAATAGCTCAATGACAAACTACCAGACCTCAGTTCATTCATCTATGCTCATTACTGGTCATAGATTGAATGACACAAATTATCTCGAATGGTCACAGTCTGTCAAGCTGGATATTGATGGAAGGGGCAAGCTAGGGTACATAACTGGTGAAATAAAGGAGAAAAAAACTGGTGATGATGGCTACAGTGTCTGGAGGTCAGAAAATTCCTTGGTGACAACATGACTTCTAAGTTCAATGGATGCATCAATTGCCAAACCTCACATGTTCATGAAAACTGCAAAGGAGGTATGGAATTCCATTAAGGAAACTTACTCAGATCTTGAGAACTCTTCTCAGATTTTTGAATTAAAAACCAAGTTGTGGCAGTCCAAACAAGGCAATAGAGATATCATCTCTTACTATAATGAGATGGTATCCTTATGGCAAGAGTTGGATCAGTGCCATGATGATGAGAAGTGGGAGAGTGTCAAGGATCTCGCAAGACACCAAAAAAGGGAGGAAAATGATAGGGTCTACATGTTCCTAGTAGGAATTAATAGAGATCTAGATGAAGTTAAGGGGAGGATACTTGGAAAAAAACCTCTACCCTCTATTAGGGAGGTATTTTCTGAAATCAGGATGGAGGATAGCAGGAAGAAGGTTATGTACAGCATTCCAGTACATAATGAGGAATCTGGGGACTCTTCAGCAATGGTGGCTAGGAGTGATGACAAGAAAAAACCCTGGTGTGATCATTGCAAGAAATTATGGCACACTAGGGAGACTTGTTGAAAAATTCATGGCAAACCACCAGGGGCAGGAAAGAAAAAAACTGAGAAGGCCCTACAAACAACTGTGACTGAGACTCAACAAGAACCACAAGTCAAGTTCAATCAGCTTTCATTCACTCAGGAGCAGATAGGGCAACTTCTTAACTTCCTTAATTCCCAGAAAACCCAAAATACCCAGAAAGAATCCAAACCAGAATCTTCCTCTTGTTCTTATGCCCAAAATGGTACCTACTCATCATTTTTTTTGTTCTGGGAAATCTAAAAATACCTGAGTTATTGACTCAAGGGCTACTGATCACATGACTTCTATTTCAAATCTTTTTTCTTCACATAAACCTAGTGCAGGGGATAAAAAGGTTAAGGTTGCAGATGGTTCTCTATCAGCCATTGCAGGGATGAGAAATATTATTATTTCCTCATCACTGAATCTATCCAAAGTCCTTCATGTCCCTAATCTATCCTGCAATCTTACTTCAGTTAGTCAAATAACTAAAGATCTACAATGTTGTGTCATTTTTTATCCTTCTTATTGCATTTTTCAGGACCTGGCATCGGGGAAGATGATTGGCAGTGCTAAGGAGGAGGATGGACTCTATATCTTTGATGGAGAAACTCAATCTAATAAAAGAGGTCCAAGAAATGCTTGTTTGCAAACTGTTTCTTTTTCAAATAATAAAGATTTGTATTTACTTCATTATAGACTAGGACATCCTAGTTTCTATTATTTAAAAAAGATGTTTCCTCAATTATTTCTGAATAAAGATGCTTCTTTGTTTAATTGTGATATGTGTGCACTTGCAAAACATCACAGAAACACTTATTTACCCCACAGTTATAAACCTACTAGTCCTTTTACCTTGGTACATAGTGACATTTGGGGGTCCATCTAGAATACCAACTTTAAAGGGAAAGAGATGGTTTGTAACTATTATTGATGATCATACTCGTGTCACATGGGTATTTTTAATCAAAGAAAAATCTGAAGTTGAGAAAATATTTAGAACATTTTATGCTATGGTCCAAACTCAATTCAATACCAAAATTAAAATGGTAAGAAGTGATAATGGCCGTGAATATTTTTCTCAAACTTTAAACAACTTTTTTACTGAAAAAGGCATTATTCATCAAAGCTCTTGTGTCAATACACCAACTCAAAATGGAATTGCAGAAAGGAAAAATAGACATTTGCTTGAAGTCACTCGTGCAATCATGTTTTCAACAAACATACCAAAATATTTGTGGGGAGAAGCAGTGTTAGATGCAACTTATTTAATTAATCGCATGCCATCCAAAACTTTAGGATTTAAAAGTCCTACTAGTTCACTACAAAACTTCTTTCCTACAAATAGATTGGTAAACACCCTTCCTTTAAAAAAAATTGGTTGCACAGTGTTTATCAAAAATCCAGATAGATCTGCAAGTAAGTTTGATCCTAGAGGAAAAAATGTCTTTTCTAGGTGTTTCTGCCACTCAAAAAGGGTATAAATACTTTGATCCTACAACCAAAACAATGGTTGTTACTATGGATACTTTTTTTGTGGAAGAACAACCTTTTTTTGATTCTCATCTTCAGGGGGAGAAATTAAGTGAAGATGTTCCAATAATGCCAAATATTCATGAAAATCTTAATTTTCTTGATATTAATCTGGATGATAATTTCTTTAGAAATATCAGTACACCTGAAAATGATCAAGAAATAAAAAATAATGAAGTAAATCCAACTGAACCAATTGAAAAAGATCAACAGACAAGTCAGTTCTTTGAAAAAATTTATGAGAGAAGGGTTAGAAATCAAAGAATAGAGGAAGTCCAAGAACCTACAACTGTCCATGATTCTGCCTCAATGTCAGGAAGTGAAAAAGGTAATATTTCTAGCAACTTTGACCTTCCTATTGCTCTCAGAAAAGAGAGAAGAACATGTGTTAAATACCCCATCTCAAACTATGTTTCTTATTCTAAATTTACCTCGGACTTTGCAGCCTTTACCTCCAATATCTCTTCTATTTCTATTCCTCCAACCATACAGGATGCTCTATCTAAACCTGAGTGGAAGAAAGCTGTTTTGGAGGAGATGGAGGCTCTTGAAAAGAATCAGAAATGGAAGCTTGTAGAGTTACCTAAAAATAAACCTACAGTTGGTTGCAGGTGTATTTTCACCCCCAAGTTTAAGGCAGATGGAAGTTTGGAGAGGTATAAGGCAATACTAGTTGCCAAGGGGTACACACAGACCTATGGAATTGATTACAAAGAAACTTTTGCACCAGTTGCAAAGTTGAACACTGTAAGAATTCTTTTATCTCTTGCTGCCAATTTAGACTGGCCATTACAACAACTGGATGTAAAGAATGCTTTTTTAAATGGGAAACTTGAAGAAGAAGTGTACATGGAACCTCCTCCTGGATTTGAAAATAAGTTTGGGTTAAAAGTTTGAAGATTAGAGAAGGCTTTATATGGACTTAAACAGTCTCCAAGAGTCTGGTTTGACAGATTCACAAAGTTCATAAAGAAGCAAGGATTTAATCAAGCTCAAGCTGACCATACTTTATTCATGAAGTTTTCAGGTAAGGGGGAGCTGACAATCTTAATTGTCAATGTAGATGATATTATCCTCACAGGAAATTATCACACAAAGACTAAAAGATTGAAAGACAAACTTGCTCATGAATTTGAGATTAAAGACCTGGAAAATTTAAAAAAATTCCTAAGAATGGAGATAGCTAGATCAAAGAAGGGTATATGTTCTACGGGAAACATGTAGAAATTGGGAGAGTGCCTGCAAACCAGCAGACACTCCAATTGACCTAAGTCAGAAATTGGGAGATATCAAGGAGGGAAATCCAGTTGATATTCACCAATATCAAAGATTGGTAGGAAAATTAATATATCTGGCACACACAAGACCAGATATTGCATTTGCAGTAAGCATGGTGAGTCAGTTTATGCATCATCCTCTCCAAGAACATCTTGATGCTACTTACAGGATTCTGAGCTACCTGAAGAGTTGTCCAGGGAAAGGATTATTTTTCAAAAAGGGAAACAATAGGACAATTGAAGCTTTTACTGATGCAGATTATGCTGGCTCAATATCTGATAGGAGATCTACTTCTGGATATTGCACCTATGTATGGGGAAATCTAGTAACCTGGAGAAGTAAGAAACAAAATGTGGTTGCTAGAAGTAGTGCAAAATCAGAATTCAGAGCTATGGCTAATGGAATATGTGAGTTACTCTGGATCAAACGAGTAATCACAGAACTAAAGATGGAGATTGGGCTGCCTATGAAGTTATATTGTGATAATAAAGCTGCTATAAGCATTGCTCATAACCCTGTGCTACATGATAGAACTAAGCATATTGAAGTGGACAGACATTTCATTAAGAAGAAGATTGAAGCTGGAATCATTTGCACACCATTTGTATCCACTAAAGATCAAACAGCTGATATCTTCACCAAAGGGTTATTTAGACCTATATTTGAACTACTTATAAGCAAGTTGGGAATGTATGATATATATTCACCAACTTGAGGGGGAGTGTAGAAAAATGTTACATTATTAGAAAAATGTTACATTATTTTTCCTGATTAGATTGATGTACATAGTGAGTCGGATAGACTTAGTTAGTTGTAGATAAGCTCATAGTTATCTAGATCCTAATTTTTAGGATCTGTACTAGCTTGTAGTTATCTGTACAAACTGTATTTATACTCTGGCCGTATGGCTCATTCAATCAAGGAAGTTTAATTCCTAAAACTTACATTATGCATAATAAATTACCCCACCGAGTTGATGGGGTCATCACAAGTGAGTGCAACCCTAATTTGTAGCAATGACTAGATTAGTTACATGTGAGATTTCCTTTCAAATTGGTAAGATCAATTCGTCTTGCCTGAACTCGATAAGACTAATTATGTGAAATTGAGGCTATCAAGGTAGATGAAGTTGCCTAGAATTTCAAATGGTAGCATCATTGGGAAAACTAAATGTACTTAAAATACTGATTTGCTTCAATGAATAGTTAGAGTACCAAAATGCATCACTGATACTACCTTCGTTCACTTTGAATTTCATGGTTGCCAACACACCACTTTGACCATTAATATACTTCCTCCGTCCCTTAAAACTTTGTCAACTTTCCTTTTTTAGATGTCCCATTAACTTTGTCACTCTCCCTTTTAAGTAAACAATTTGTGATTCCAGTTAATTGTCTCTTCTCTGCACAAACCTCAACCACATAGGTTTTACTTTATTAATCCCTGTGCCGGTCAAACTTGGCAAAGTTTTGAGGGACGGAGGGAGTATTCAATTAGCTATTAGCAAAAATTATTTAAAGAAACATATTTTTAATTGGGGAAAATAATTTAAATATCCCAAACTTTTTTAAGGGGTGTGAGGTATGCACCCCAAACTCGGATATGTAATAAAAATACCCCGAAGTTTATATAAAGCTTATCATAGCACTATCATAGTATATTTTTTCTTTCACAAATGTAAATTTTTAGTGTTAAAATATAAAATTTAAAATACTTTGGGCATTTATAAGGATGAAATTATTATCTAAGCTTCAATATTTTAAATAAATAACATTCACAACTAAGTATATAATGTTAATTGCACTCTAAAAAATGCTTAAAATATTTAAATTAATTACTTAACGCCATAAATTTACATTTGTGAAAGAAAAAACATATATGATCATGATGCTAAGATATCTTTTATATAAAGTTCGGGGTACTTATATTAGTTATGCAAGTTTGGGGTGCTTACCTCACATGTCAGTCATGCCTCAAAAGTTCGGGGTATTTAAATTATTTTCCCCTTTTTAATTTTAATTTGGAACAAATTTTTATAGTATCGTGTATATATAAACTTTCAATTCGTTAATAAATAAAATGTAGTCAAAGTAGAGTATGTAAATAGTGTAAAAGTCAAGTGTTGCAACTATTAAGGGACGGAGGAGATATTAATTATAAAACTATTTGTGTTATTTACCCAAAAATAGACAAGTCCTGGTAATTACAGAAGCTAACAGATTTGAGAAGTAATACAGGAACCTCTTGGCTCCACTTGCACATACTCTTATTGAATGCAAACTGCAATTAGCATGTACTTTGAAATGAGAAATCTAAATAAAGAAATTCACAAGGCTTATTATATCTTACAGGTAAGGTCTCCCATCTTTTCCTTATTTGACCAAGTTCATATCTTTCTTCATCACCCCCACCATAGTAGCATCCAGAAAATGCCAACATATCAGGTTCAAATCTGGGAGAACATCCAACACATGGACATCAGAAAAATAAACGTGATGATTGTGAGTTGATGTAGCAATGTGCACCAAAAATGAGCTCTGAACTCTTCAAACTAAAATACTTCTTCACAAAAACAGACTGCACCCTCAAACATTTTGTTTTATGTACCAATTATACATTTGACTCCTTATTGTGGCCAGTGAAACCGGGAACATCTGCAGTTCATCTTCAGTGAATGGTCAAGCCGAGAAGCATCTCTCTTCTCCCTTATCGTGGCTGGTAAAATCGGTCCTTTTTGCAATTATATTTGTAGTAGCAAAAGTAGTCAATATGCATATAGAGTCTACATTATCGTATGTTAGCTATATGCATTGTGTTAGACTAGAACCTTCTAATGTAATAAGTCCATAGTCTATAGCTTGTTAGTATCTCGGTTAGTTGTTAAAGTCTAACTGACTTAACAACCTCTATAAAAACATTGTAACCCAACTCTGTTTCTTAATGAAATCTTTCTGTTAGTTCATATCTCTCTCTCGTTTATCTAATATGGTATCAGAGCTTTAGCTCGATCCATCAATGGCGACCGCAGACAGTACATCTCAGTCCTCCGCTACTACAAATCCTCCAAATTTCACCACTCTGGTGACCTTCGCTCATCCACTTCCAGTCAAACTTGACGCCAACAACTTCATCTTCTGGAAACACCATGTCGAGTCTGTAGTTCGAGCGCACAAATTGCTTCGGTTTATCATCAAACCTGTTATTCCAAAACAACTCCTCACTGATAACGACGAAGCAGCAGATACTGTTAATGATGTGTATATTGCTTGGGAACAACAAGACCAAATGCTGTTTTCGTGGCTACTTGCGTCGCTCTCAGAAGCTTTACATGCTCGTGTTATTCATTGCAGACACTCCTATGAGCTTTGGAGTGAAATCAACTTCTTCCAATCCAGTATCATGGCAAAGGCCAGACAACTCAAATCCGAGTTGTATAACACTGCGAAAGGTAATCGTTCTATCTCTGAGTACTTACTTCGCATCCAAACTATCGCCGACAACCTGCTTTCAATTGGAGAACCGATTTCATCTAAGGATCACATTAATGTGGTCCTTGAAGGATTACCAGAAGAATATGAATCTCTGGCTTCGTCAATATCCTCTCGCAGTATACTTGATCCACCTACTCTATCTGAAGTTGAATCTCTTCTATCTGCCAAGGAAACACGACTGCTAAAATTTCGCGAATCCTCTCAACAGAACTTGTTATCTGCAAATGTTGCTCGACTGGAAATCTCAACTCCAAATTATCATCCTCCTACTGAAAACACCAACAACGATGCTTCTGCTCAAGTTGCTCAATTCAACAACACTTGCAATAACAATTCCTACAGAGATAGAGGCCGTGGAGGCTTTTCTAGAGAGAGGGGGGGCAGATTTGGTGGACGTAACCCTATCACATGCCAAGTTTGTGGCAAAACTGACCATCATGCACACATTTGCTATCATAGATATAATCCTTCATATACTATCTCCAGTTCTTCAGCCAATCCTCATTCCACAAATCCTTACTCCACCAATCCATATCCTCCAAGACCTGCTTCCAATTATCCCATTCATTCACCAAATCCTACTGCCACAAACAATTCAGTTCACTCTTTCAACCGGGAACAATCATCACATCAAAACCATCATCATTCACCTCGTGCTTCATATAATCCTACTGCTGCTTATGCCTATGCCAATACCTCTATTCTATGACCTCCTCCACAGCCTCAAACTTGGTTCCCTGATTCTGGAGCTACTCACCATGTCACTGTAGATCCTTTAAACCTTCAGCACAGTGAGCCTGTTACAACTACTGATAAGCTTCTTATGGGAAATGGTCAAGGTTTGGGCATCAAGTCTATTGGTTTTACTTCCTTTCCTTCTCCCTATCAGTCTTCTATTTCTCTTTCTCTCAACAATATTCTTCATGTTCCCTCAATAACTAAAAATCTAATCAGTGTCAGTCAGTTTGCTAAGGATAACAATGTATTTTTTGAGTTTTATCCTTCTGATTGTTATGTGAAATCACAGGTTTCTAATCAAGTCTTGTTGCATGGTATACTGGGAGCAGATGGTCTGTACAGATTCCAATCATTCCCAGCTCTCAGTCTCAACCAGTCTCCTACACCACTTCATCAATCTTCTGCTCATGTTTCATCCTCACAAAATAATAAGTCTAGTGTCCTGTTATCTACCTGTAATAATGCTAAATCTAGTTGTGCTTCTCAATCATGTAATCTCTGGCATCTAAGGCTTGGCAATCCTCATAATGAGGCTCTCAAAATTGTACTCAGACAATTTAATGTTCCTTATATTAATAAAAGTGCAACTGACTTTTGTTCTGTTTGTTGTATTGGTAGCACATAGACTGCCTACTTATCAATCTACAACTATTTACCACAAACCTTTTGAACTCATTTTTACGGATCTCTGGGGACCAGCTCCCATTGTTTCCTTTGATGGATACTCATACTACATAGCCTTTGAAGATGCTTGTACAACATATACCTGGATTTATTTCCTCAAACAAAAATCTGATGCTCTTCAAGCCTTTAATAACTTCTTCCAATATGTTCTCACTCAATTTTCTGTATCCATCAAGTCTTTGCAGTCTGATTGGGGTGGTGAATTTAGGCCATTTACTAAACTTCTATCTGAAAAAGGCATTATTCATAGACTCATTTGTCCACACACACACCATCAAAATTGTGTTGTGGAAAGAAAACAGCGTACCATTGTTGAAAAAGGTCTTTCTCTTCTCTCTCTCTTCTCTGCCCCTTAAATTTTGGGATACAGCGTTTGCTACTTCTGTCCATCTAATTAACAGAATCCCATCCAAATCCATTTCAAATTCTAGTCCATATTTCAAACTGTATAACTCCATGCCTGATTATTCATTTCTAAAGGTCTTTGGTTGTGCTTGTTATCCCTTTATCAGACCATACAACAAACACAAACTTGATTTTCATTCAGAGGAATGTGTTTTGTGGGCTATTCCTCAAGTCACAAAGGCTACAAATGTCCGTCTTCTTCTGGCAAAGTTTACATCTCTAGGGATGTTATCTTTCAGGAATCTAAATTCCCTTATCCACTCATATTTTCCTCTGAATCTTCTTCTTTAACCACCAATTCTACTCCCATTTCTGTGCCCATTAGTCTTTCATTACCTATTTCTACTTCTGAAAAAAAACAAAAAAAATAAAAAAAAAATAAAAAAACAAAAAAAGAGGGAAAAAAAAGAAAAGCAAAAAAAAATACCTATTTCTACTTCTAACCCTGCCCAATCTACTCCATTTGTCTCTACTAATCAGTCAAATGCTACTGCAGATCATGCTCTCTCTTCATTTACCATTTGTCTCTTCATTTCCAAAAATGCTTTAGTTTTATCTTCCTCTTCTGAATCTTCTTCAGACAATGCTTCAGTTTCCACACCACACTCTTCTTCTGCTCTTCCAATTCCTCCAGTTCATATCAGTAATACTCATCCTATGAAGACAAGGGCTAAGTCAGGGATTGTAAAACCAAGACTTCATCCTACCTTACTGTTAACCCATATTGAGCCTCAATCAGTTAAACAGGCCCTAACTTCTCCTCATTGGCTTGAAGCTATGCAATGTGAATATAATGCCTTAATTGCTAACAAAACTTGGTCTCTTGTTCCTCTTCCTCCAAATAAACAGGCCATTGGCTGCAAGTGGGTTTATAGAGTCAAGGAAAAGCTTGATGGTTCTCTCAATAAATATAAAGGCAGGTTGGTGGCAAAAGGTTTTCATCAGCAGTATGGCTTTGATTTTGGAGAAACATTCTCTCCAGTAGTCAAGCTAGTCACCATCAGAATACTTCTCACACTTGCTATTTCACAAAATTGGTCCATTCAGCAATTAGATGTCAACAATGCCTTTCTAAATGGAGAGCTAGATGAGGAAGTTTACATGATGCAGCCTCCAGGGTTTCAGGTTGAGGACACCTCCTTAGTTTGCAAGCTTCACAAGTCTCTGTGTGGCCTTAAACAGGCTCCTAGAGCTTGGTTTCACAAGCTCACTTCTGTTCTCTACAATGCTGGTTTCAAGCAAAGCAAATCTGATCCCTCTCTACTTATTTTTCTGTCCTCTGGAATTCAAATGTATATATTGATATATGTTGATGACATATTAATCATTGGAAACAACTCTACTGCCATCACTCAACTTATTCACAAGCTCCATTCATCTTTCTCACTCAAACACCTAGGAGACCTAGACTTCTTTCTGGGAATAGAGGCACGCAAACTTCCTGATGGCAGCCTTCATCTATCTCAAGCTAAGTACATTAGAGATATATTGACTCAAGCTAATATGTTGGATTCAAAAGGGGTCAAAACACCCATGGTTAGCACCTTCAAACTTCAGAAACAAGGCAGTGACATTCTCTCTAATCTTTCTCACTACAGATCCATTGTTGGAGTTCTAGAGTATGCTACTTTAACCAAGCTAGATATATGCTATGCTATCAATAAAGTATGTCAATTCATGGCTGAACCACTCCAGGAACACTGGCAAGCAGTGAAGCATATCCTTAGATATCTCTCTGGCACCATCAACCATGGTATCATCATCAAACCTATCCCTTTGTCCAAAATGTCTCTTCCTATATCAGCTTTCTGTGATGCTGACCGGGCATCTGATCCAAATGACAGAAAATCTACCTCTGGCTCATGTATATTTCTTGGAACTAATATTGTATCCTGGTGGTCAAGAAAACAACTCAGAGTTGCTAGGTCTTCAACAGAAGCAAAATATAGGAGCCTTGCAGATACCTCAGCAGAACTCCTATGGATCCAGTCTCTTAAAAGAACTGCAAGTTCCATTTGCTATACCCAAGGTGTATTGTGACAACCTCAGTACTGTCCAGCTAGCTCACAACACTGTCTTGCACTCCAAAATTAAACACTTGGAACTTGATCTTTTCTTTGTAAGGGAGAAGGTTCTTCTAAAGCG